GTCAGGAAAAAATTCTGGCTACACTTGTCTTGACCAGTGGTCCATACGTGTCTATTTGTGACACACTTCACAAAACAATAATACTGTCAGGAAAAAATTCTGGCTACATTTGTCTTGACCAGTGGTCCATACGTGTTTATATGTGACACACTTCACAAAACAATAATACTGTCAGGAAAAAATTCTGGCTACATTTGTCTTGACCAATGGTCCATACGTGTTTATTTGTGACATGATAACTAGTTTCACTTATTTCTTCTTGTTCATTGCTGAAGATTTTCAACATGCCACTTAAGTACAGTTAATTTCTTTAACTGATATATCAAGAAGTGATTTCTATTATGAAATTTTCACATTTATTGACAAGGGTACCCCCATTTGACACCAAGTTTTAGTATTTGAAAGATGTGAAAAAGTGCACCCCCATATTTCATTAAAACATTCGGCAAACAAACTACATTATTTTTCCAATTTTCATTAAGTACTTTTAACTATTTTAAACTTTAGTCTCATAATCATCACTCCACACAGAAAAGTAGGAAATAACTTTTGATGTTCAACTCAGTATTTAAAAAGAATCTAAATTTTCCGTTTAGACACACAACTAGCTACTAGCAAGTATTTTTGTCTGTCATTGTTTCCTTTCAAAAATGGTTTTAATATCAGAAAATCTCTGATAGGCTTGACAGTCTGTCTTTGTTATAAAATTAAAACATTTGTATGGGATAATCTATGGAGATTAAGAAACTTTTCTCATCCAAAGTGTTATTAATGACCAAATGTTAACCGTCAGTTATTTACCTAAACCATTCCTGTCAATATTTATAACTAATAGTATAATATTTTATTCAGTGTGTAGCAAAAGCATATAAATATTTGTGATTCTAACAATATACCTTTAATATTTTTTTAGGCTTGCTTTTAGATTGTATTTGAACTAACAGGTCTTAGATGAAGCATTCTTATAGAAGGATCCATTTCTGCCTAATATCTTGAAAATATTCTAAATACACAGAGCTATTACAACACAACAGAGGTAATGTAATCCAAATAAAATGAATAATTGTTAAGTACGGAAAATTATATACTTCAAAAAAAAAAATATTTTATGTGAAATTTCTTTTAAATCCCTTCTTCAACTGTGCTTTATAGATTATAAAACTGGTAATAACTTTATCCAATAAATAGCTGACTACACTTCTTACAACTGATTCCTTTGGTTTTGTTTTAGGAAAAGAAAAAATCCTGAATTATATAGGCTTGCTAAATGTATTTTTATCCGAGTCAACCTTTTTAAATTTGTACGCGTGTGTTCAAACGTTTTCGGAATCTGCTGTTAAACCATGAAAAGGTTTTCTTGATACAGAGACATTTGTTTGCAAGCTATGTGTGCCTATATTTTTGGAGGGTGAAATACAGTGAATTAGACTTAACATTTTCAATTTGTTTGGATTTATTATAAACCTACAACATGGCCTGCTAGTGTAATTATTGATATAAAATTAGTGACACAACTGTAAGCAACAATACACAGTTATACAGACCATGCTTGTCACGGACTAAACATCTCAACCGAACAGTTTGACTACTCCATTTTCAGTACAACTGCAAACTATTAATGCAAGACATAAACAATATTTGGTCACAAGCTTTGACACAAGATATGCATTTTCTTAAGTGCAGATAGCCGTTGTGTAGCTTTGTGCGGAATCCAACAAACAAACATTTTCTTGACACAATAATTCTTTTTTTGCATTTGTTTCTTTACAAACTTGTTCTAAGAAACCTGTACCAATAGAACTGAATATATCATCCATTGGCATCAACTCAGGCACTTCAGAATAGGATCCTGAACAAAACTACATCTTTTCTCTATGCAGTACAATGACACTGGAAAAACACAACATTTCTGATCTCACCTAGTTAAATAATGTAGAAATGCATTAACTTCTCTCATCATTAAATATTTCAGGACAGTAAACATTCAGGTATGGAGACATTGGATATTAAACATTTATATATATATATATTTCTTCTTTTTTTTTCTTTTTTGTTTTTAATGTGCGGAATACAGCTATATTACATGATCTGACGGTCTGATAAGTTAGCTAAATATTTCCTAGGACATTTTTAAATCATTATTGCAAATTTTCAATTTCATAAGAGGGGATCATGTTTGCAAACCTTCTTACCACTACATAGGAGTGTAAATTTATGTGAGGTAGTTTTCTCGCTGTTGCGTTATAGGCAGAGGTTGAATTGGGCTCCAATCTTCATCATCTTCATCCTCTGCATTTTCTTCTTCTTTCTGCCATATACTGTCAGAATCTAAACGTTCCAGGGTTGCTATCACTGAATTTGAACATAAAAGACAACTATAGTATGCTTTCAAAAACCACGTTCGTATATTTATATAACAAACTACGAAGTGTCTTTTTTTCTTAATGGTGCTGGTTAATAATCTAAAAACTAGCCATGACTTTAAGTTAAGAGTTTCCTTGAAGGAAAAAACAAAAAGAATTGCACAGGTTAACATTTCATGTTTACTAAAATGTTAACATTTTTTGCACTTACAAGCATTTGTGCACATGATGTACAGTTAGCACACAAATAACTGTCTTTGTAATGAGGTCACGTTATTCTTGTGTTAATTACACACTGTTAAGGGTAATTTTCTCTTGATGTTTTTTGGACTTTCTCACAGAAAGTGACACTAGAGAAGTCCACAGACTTTTGCTAGTTTGTTCTCTGGTGACATGTGTTGTTGATAATTTTAGAAATGCCTGAAAATTCCATCTTTGATTCGAAAGTGGGAAAAAAATATTTAATAAAAATTCTGAAAAATATTAGGTTGATATTGTTCTTTATAAATAATCACTTTCAGAAACAGTAAATTAAACTAGGTTATTCTAAATTTAATTTACTTGAGTGAAGTATATAGAAGTTTAGATAAGAAGACAATTGTACCGCCACAGTAACACATAAGCAAGCATTAAACATGTTTAATTCACTACGTTTAAATAGGTTCTATGTTCTTGCCCTTGATCATGTTGTGCCACATACTTACACTCGTGTGAATAAAATGATCAGAATTTCACACAAACAGTGTGTAACGTAGTTAATTTATATAAAATCTTCATGACGAATGTACATTCGTACATACTTTTTATATTCAGGAAATGATAAGCCACAATTTTCTGCAAATTTAGAAATAGAAAAGCAAACATAAATCTAAACTCATCATAGACAATTTGAATTATATTATTTAAAGATAGGAAGTAGAAAAAATACAAAGTGTAAAAGCTAAACTTATTTTATATAAAATACTTCTCTCATCATCATCCAAAATACATATAAAACATAAGTAAATGAGAAGTTTAGGCATTCACATACAAAACAAACTTGTTTGTTCTAAGGAAAAAAATAAATATCCAAGTTTGATGATGAGACAATTTCCTCATTCCCTTACGCTAAAACCTGATAATAATAAACAAACTACTTGTGACTTACTTGCAACAAGTTTGCTTTTCTCCATAACTTCTTTAGCTATGGTGTGATTAAGAGCTAGAAGATGAGCTCTTTTCTTTCTTTCTTCATCCATCTTCTTTTTCATTGGTTCTGATGCAGCGCCATCTATTTCAGTTGGTTCTTCATACCTGTAAATAAACTATTATTATTATTTTCTATTAACTAATATTGTCAGTTTTCTTTCCATTCAAAAATGAACCCGAAAATTACTTGATTATATTTATACATGTATGCATGTACTCATTTTACCCTAGAAAAATTACAAACGTGAGTGAAAAGTAATCATAACATTTTGAACAGAGAAACATAAGTATTACAAAACATAATTGCAGTGATAAAGCTACTGTAAATTGAACAGAATGATTACCTAAAGACCAACATATTAAATTTGTTTTCTCCAAGCTAGCCCAAGAAAACAGTTGAGGAAAAACAAAGACAATTGCCAAGAAACCCTAGGCAAATACGATAGCCAAGACATCAAAGACACTGACAGCCAGCAAACCAAAGGCTCCCAAGAAGGCCAAAGCTATTCCTAAGAAGGCTGCTATCAATTCTACACAAGCATCAAGATGTCTCATATAACTTACATTGCTGCTTCAGCGAGCATCTTCCTGATATTTTCTGCTTTTTCATTTCTTTTCATCTTTTCTGCGGCTGACAAGTTTTCAGGCTCGTCTTCAATGTAACGTTCAGGAATGTCAATTTTCTGAGGAAGACCAAGCTGAAGAAACAACAAACACTTACTGAAACAATCTTACTAACATACCGAGATTTAAAACCTCAAGATTTACTAATGGATTTTGATTGGAAAAAATTACTTAAAACATAAAAAAAAAAAAAAACTAAATTAACAAATCTGTCTATCACAAATCTTCACAGAAACATACAATAACAATAAACAGATAAGTAGAAAAACTAACTTTTTTTTTATCATCGTGAAGAACAAAACACTAATATTTAAATTAAGAACTAAAAAATGCACATTTAAACGGATATTCTTGATTCTTCAGCGGTATATTTATATGAATGTATAATCATAAGTAATACTTGAGATATAATTTTAAAAGATTATTCAAGAAGAACGTTTAATATTTTAGACAATATACCTACTATATAGGTTAGTGGATTTGTAGATGTTATCACAAATTTATACTTCTGTTACATTTCATGCACTATTCTACAAACCTTATAGCAAGGGGATGCAGTGTTGAAAATAATTAGTTTAAACCACATACATATTACAGTTAAGTAGAAAAATAAGAAGTGAACACTCTATAAGGAAACACATTATTACAGATACAAAAAAAAAAAATAATTACCACAAAACTTACTTCTCGATCAATAATTTTCTCATTAAATACTTCTGCCTTTCTTATTGTGCTACGTACAATATCGGGTGTACTTGCTGTGCGTGAGTAGCAATCCATTCGAAAATTCTAAGATTTAATAGGATATTTAAAGGATAACATAAGTCCTATATATTTAACATCATCAGTGCTGTAAGATGTCATAAGAACTTTATAGAGTTAGCTAAAACCCCAATAGGGTCATAACAAGCTTAAAAAAGTCAGTTCTGTATGAGGTAAAAATTAATTGTATAGGACAGATAAAAAAATCCTGTAGAATGACAAAACATTCAAGATAGGCTTAACATCTATAGGACATTTTGGTTTAACTCTTTCATTGTTTATAGACAAACGACTCTCACAGTGCCAGGTTTACACACAGAAACACGTGTGGTGCTGTATAATTATATCTTATATATCACATGTCATATGAACATTAAATATTTTAGAAATAAGTGGCTGAAACATTTCACAAAGGAAATGTTCTCAGATCATACAACAATTATTTGTACATTTATTTCCACAATTTACAAATTAATATTAAGCTGCATTTATGATACTTTTTGAGTTAATTATAATTTAATTAATATCACACTTTTCTTGGCTAAAACAAATGTTATATAATTTGTCCCATATACGTGCTCCTGGCAGTGCTCTAGAGGGGGGGGGGGGCAAACCATGAAAGTGAAAGAGTTAAAAGTTCAAGTCTTATAGTCATCCTTTAGAAATTTAATAATGTTTAGACTTTATTAAATAAGACACCCTTTAAGGCTAGGAGTTTCAGTCCACTCCAGAACATAGGTGTATTACTACTTTTTTTTTTAACTATGACAACACTCTAGGAATGGGAACATTAGTTCAAGTTAAAATAGATTTATATTCACAAAGTAGATCAAATGTCTGATGCAGTAACATGACGAAGAAGATAAAAAAAACAACTCTGCTCCTTTCCCATTCTACGTGTTTAATGTACACAGTCGTGTACGATAACTTACAGTTCATTGTTTTGGTGTGCCATTTGATAAGCACCCTTCATACAACACATTAATCCAACTTATGCATTTTACCATCTGTATAATATTATCACTAATTTTTTACAATATTTTTGATTGAATATTCAGATATTTTTTTACTCTGAAACTAAGTTGATTCAGCAACTTAACACTTGACATGTCTAGTGTGGTAATGATAAACATAATTAATTTTTACATGCTAGACTTAATAATTTTGTGGATAAATCTAAATAACTTACCATTCTGGGGGATAACCGATTAGGAAATGGTGTACCCGTAATGGTGTGATGCCTCCTCTTAGGCTTCCTATGAACCTGTCCATGGTGTCTTGGGCTTGTCTGGGACTGGTAGCTATTTAGTTTGTGCTCTGTGGAAGACGTGAAGAAAGGAGAAGTAGAGGACCCTCCAAATAATCGTTCATGAGCAGTGAGAGTCTGTCTTTGATTCTAGGTAGACAAATCAATTATGAAAAGTCATAAACTTGTAGCTCAATGTTTCTCAATTTAAGATAAAATTTAATAAAACATACACATGAGAGAATGCTGTCATTTAGGTAAGGTTTGACTTAGATATTTAAGCCATATTACATGATGAGAATACTAGTTCATAATGAAAGACATATAAATTTAACAAATACAGGTTTTTGTACAGGAAGCCTACTATAATTGGAAGGCAGAAACATTAACTTATTCTTCAAAGCAAGCCTTTTTTGAGTGCACGTAATACTTTTCAAGCTCACTTATGAAATTAGCATATTCCTAGTAGTAAAAGTTTTAGAAAGTTACAAGTAAGTTTGTTTTCATGTCTTAATTTATTATAATTTATGCATCTACTATTAGGAATGAAATGTGGTCATGGATTTTTACTTGTACAGGTACTGTGACAAACATAAATGTAATATCCTACTGACTTTACCATTACATGTTATTGAACTATAAACATGTTTCCTGTTTAGATGGAAACGGTGATTCTCTTATGATCACAGTTATGGTTTACTACATATCCTGACCCCTGTATTTGCTGTCTACCTATTGTACAAACCTAATAATATAAACCTCGAATACATATGACGTATGGATATTTATAGAAGTATAGTTATAAGGTAATTACTACAAAAACAGTAAAGTAATAAAATAATATGAAGGTTCTATATGATATAAGCTCTAATGTCATAGCCTGTGCAAGTTCTGAAATTATGTAGCATATGAAGATGGCTTAGTGGTTAAAAGATTTGTTAAATAAGTTGATGAATAGTTATAAACCTGTTACTTAATTAAGTAATACTCCATTGTAGCTTTATTTGTTGAACATTAAAAATATATTTTCATTTTATCACCAGTGTTTTTTTTTGTTTAAAAGTATTAATTTATAAAGAATTAATTAAAAAGAGTTATAATACTTAATAATTCAAGTATGACGAATGAAATACTAACTTTAAAGGCAATCTATATTACTACAAATGTCTAACCTGGACTGTATGAGTAGGTGAAAAAAGTGAGGTGGGTTGATGAGCTGTTGGAAGTTCAGTTGCCTTAACAGACTTTTCATCATCTAAAATAAACAAGGTAATTAAAAACTTAAAATAATTTAATAAGCTATTAACAGAAGAGTTTTTCAGCAATATTTAAAGAACTAATAACAACTAAGGACATCTTTTAAAATTTAATCACCAAACTTACACACACATATGTAAACCAATATGACCATTACTGAACACCATATCATAAACTTATAAAAAGTAGATTTAAAGAAAATTTAAATTTGAAGTGAGGATTGTACAATCTGTAACTCTTGTTAATTGCTTCAAGCTTAACTACTGCCACTTAGTCATAGAATAATTAGGTTTTTTGATGAGAAATATACATAGACCAAAAGTATATTTATTTATAATGAAATCCTGTCAAAAAATATACGAGCATACTCTATGATAATCTTGTAACACTGTCTAAAAATAAAACACATAAAAGCTTAAACGATAGAAAATCATAACACTTACAAAGTAAACGGTTAACACAAAGAAATAAAGTAACGAGAAAAACGTTCAGAATCAGAAACTTTATCAACAGATGAGCAGGCAAAAAGATTTAACATGAAATTATGAATATGTTCGTTACATGTATTTTCAAGACTTCTTTGATAGTTTTTTTTTGTCCTATTTAAGAAAAATTCCAAAACTGATACTACAAAGACAATTATGGAAAACATACGTAGAGGAAATTTTTCTTGTCAATACTATTGTTGTAGGCTATGTTTTTTTTTAATTTAGTTGTTTCAATAGGTTTGTGTTGTTGTTTGGTCAGAGAAATGTTTGGCATAGTGTTATAGGCATGGCTTAATAACTAGAAACTTATTGAAAGTTTAGGAAATTATGCAAGTCAGAAAAAAAGCAAGTTAAGCTGGAGTATAGTAGAGTCAGTCAGTTAGTTAGTCAGTGAACTTAACCAGAAAATAAGTCCGTAAGTTACTGCAAGATATTTATTTCAGTTTTGTATATTTTGTGTTTCTAATGAAGTACTGAAGATAACAAAATGTACTGTACATACGACAGAAATCAGAAAGGAAGTAAAATTACTGTATTAGTGATTAGAGTGAACTGTCGCCTAAACGTGAACTTGAGTTATGCTAATTTGTAGATCTTTTAGTTGAAGAAATAATATTATATCATTAAGCAGACTGGACTTTGAATTCTTCCTTTTACAAAATAATCCAAAGAGCTCACTCAAAAATAAACACCATTACATCACTATAAATGTAAATAAATGAATTAATAAGAAATTAGTTAATGATATAATTAAATTATGACAATTATCATATTTATTTTACAACAGGAAAAGTAGTTATTTTTAAATATTGCTTGAGTAAGGAAGCAGAACTTTTAAAAGTGAACTTAATTTTAAATACTAATTACAAATTATTATCAAATTGAGCAGTACAAGTCGGATGTTTCCTCCGATCCATAACAAGAAATTCTTCAAAAATCAAAATAATTACAAAATAACAGTAATTTACCCAATGTTGAAAAGATAAACAGGACGATTCTACATCAGTACCAAATATTTGTTCCATTACACTACAACTATAAGCTAATCAGTTGAACTGTTCTAAATCAACAACAGAAAATGTAATAACATCATGAATCATATTTAACAATAAACAATATAATAATTCACACCTTCGTGGTCATTTTCATAGTCGGCCTCCTCAATCAACCGTATTTCGGCTTTGTTATCGTACCTTACTTTCTTTGTATCACTCAGATGAGAATCAGTTGTTCTATTTGTCCCATCAATAGAGAGACCTTTAGTAAATAAATAATTATTCTATTACAGTGTCTACTCTTTTAATGCATTTTTAGAGTTTCCATCAAAAAATTTATATCTTCAACATACATCTCTTTTGAAAAGATTTATTTGAGTTGATTCACTGATTATAAGTATTTTCTTGCACGTTACAGCTTTTTGTTTGTTTGTTACGGATTTTGCTAAAAGCTACGCAAGGGCTATCTGCGCTAGCCATCCCTAATTTACTAATGTAAGACTAGAGGGAAGGCAGCTAGTCATCACCACTCACTGTCAACTCTTGGGCTACTCTTTTAGCAACGAATAATGGGATTGATCGCCACATTATAATGCACCCATGGCTGAAAGAGCAAGCATGTTTGGTAGGATGGAGGTTCGATCCCGCGAACCACAGATTGCGAGTCGAGTGCCCTAACCACCTGGCCATAACGGGCTGTTGCAGCTTTTACATTTATAGTATAGAAGAATATTTATTTAAACAGATACAATGTTTTGATCACTAGTGCGATCATTCTCAAATATACAGATTTTAGTGGTAAAGAAGATTTTTAAAAATTTAAATCAACATTCAACAACCAGAGGTGAAACTAGCTCGTGGTAATGCCCCGGGGCCCATGATGCCTGGGGGCTTGGTGTGGTCGTCGTTTTTGGAAGAAAAGGGCCCCCGATGATTTCTTTACCCTAAGGCTCCTGACCTGCTTGTTCCACCACTGTCAACAACATAAAAATGCACACCAATTAAAGAATCAATATTGGCTTTTATGCATGTGCATATCAATTCGTATGAATTGATAGATTATTTATTTATAGTTGAGCAAAAAAAAAAAAACAAACATGTGATTACATGAAAGATGTTGTGCAAAAGTTTTGGATAAGATTAGGAATGTCTGAGGATATAACAATCAAAGCAGGGATAGAAATAATGAAATAAAATTACATTCACTCGAGGGAAAGCTGTTACATTCCTTCATGAATTGTGTTTTTTTATTTAATCCATGCAATCTGTTCACTTTCATTGGTCATAACTAAAGGAATATGAATGGACCATACATTCCTGATTGGGAAAGCCAACTAGAAAGATGAAATTTCTTTGGAATACAGAAATGTAATGTTTCGATCCCTGCAAACACATACAGAGTTATGTCTGGATATTTGCTAATGGTAAGATTGTTTGATTTTATTAATAAGGCTTCTTTGATTTTAATTCTATTGAGGTCAGATTCATATTTTAATACGGTGATATTCTGTTAAGAAAAACTGTGGTTGTTTTAGTTAATAAGTTCACGTGAATTGATATACATTAGCTATATTGTTGAATGGTGGTTTAACTACAAAAACTTTCTTTACAATTATAATCCGTGTACTTGAGAATTATCACATTAAGCTTAGTATATTAGGTGGACAAAAAAAAGCATTTTCATATCACTAAACTTTTTTGTTTGTTTTCACTTACCAGTACCGGTGATAATATTTGGCTGATGTTGATAATCTAAATGGTAAGCTGGTTGATTTGACCTTATATCTTGATCTTGTTGATTAGGCCTAACAAATTCATCCGATTTCTTGAATCTGGAATGTTGGTCTGACTGAACTGACTTTACATTTTCTTCTGGTTTCTGTTTGGCATGTCTCTCTGATTGGTTTGAACTGAAAGGTTGATCTAATTGACCAAATCTGGAGTGTTCATCTGACTGAACTGACTTTACATTTTCTTCTGGTTTCTGTTTGGCATGTCTCTCTGATTGGTTTGAACTGAAAGGTTGATCTAATTGACCACATCTGGAGTGTTGATCTGACTGAATTACCTTTACATTTTCTTCTGGTTTCTGTTTGGCATGTCTCTCTGATTGGTTTGAACTGAAAGGTTGATCTAATTGACCACATCTGGAGTGTTGCTCTGACTGAATTACCTTTACATTTTCTTCTGGTTTCTGTTTGGCATGTCTCTCTGATTGGTTTGAACTGAAAGGTTGATCTAGTTGACCAAATCTGGAATGTTTGGTTGGTTGATTAGGTCTTTCATGCTGATTTGACACATTTAGTTTGATATGTTGATAAGACTGGTTAAATATGGCATCTTGATTTGGTTGACTTGCATTCTTTTCCAATTGGTTAGATCTGTTATGTTCTTCAGGTTGGTTAATTACAGAAAGTTGATTTGATTTAGGTAACTTGCCTCTGTGATCTGATTGGTTGGATTTATCGTGTTGATTAGATTGGATATGTTTATCATATTGGTCTGATTGGTGTATTATTACATACTGATCTGGTTGGCTACAGCTATCATATTCATTTGGCTGGTTTACCCTTACATTCTGATATGGTTGGTTATATCTACTATATACATTTGGCTGGCTCAGTCTTACATCCTGATCTGATTGGTTGTATCTACCATACTGTTCAGGCTGGTATATTCTTACATTCTGACTTGGTTGATAATGACTACCATACTGCTCTGGCTGGCTTACCCTTACATTCTGACTTGGTTGATAATGACTACCATACTGCTCTGGCTGGCTTACCCTTACATTCTGATATGGTTGGTTATGACTACCATACTGCTCTGGCTGGCTTACCCTTACATTCTGATATGGTTGGTTATGACTACCGTGTTGTTCAGGCTGGCTTACCCTTACATTCTGATATGGTTGGTTATGACTACCATGTTGTTCAGGGTGGTGTATCCTTACATTCTGATCTGATTGGCTATAAATACCATGTTGGTCAGGCTGCTGTATTCTTACACTCTGATCTGATTGACTATGAATACCATGTTGTTCAGGTTGGTGTATCCTTACATTCTGATCTGATTGGCTATGAATACCATGTTGTTCAGGCTGTTGTACCCTTACATTGTACTCTGTTTGGTTATGTCTACTGTATTGGCCTCGTTGGTTGATCCTTCCATTCAGATCTTGTTGGCTACTTCTACTATTTTGATCAGGTTGGATTAATCTTCCATTTTGATATGTGTGATTTGGTTTAGTACTATGACTGGGTTGTCTTAGCCTTTCATTTTGATCTGGTTGATATGATCTTGCATGTCTTAGTTGACTTAACCTTCCATTTATATCTGGATGATTTGGATAGCTAGATCTACCACGTAGTTCTGATTGATTAGGTCGAACCTGATCTTGTGGAACATATCTACCATACTGGTTTACAAAAATTATGCTTCTATGCTCATCTGCTTGGTTTAGACCAACCTGACTTAGCTGCTGACCTGACCGATTTAGTGTGATTTCATGACTGACAAGTCTTACATTCTGATCTGCTTGGTTTAATCTTGTATATTGAACTGACTGGTTCTGTGTAGGATGATTCTGTAAATTTCTATCTGGTAAAACTCTCTGACTTATTCTGGTATTTACAGATTGATCCCGTGGCTGATTTTGTGGGTTAAACCTAATATTTTGATGTTCTCGATTAAGAACAGGCTCGTCTAACTGTTGATCTGCGTAGTGTACTCTGGAACCCAGATTTTGTTGTTGTGGGCTTGAATAAGCTTGCTGGTCATGATGGCTAACTTGAACTTGATTATCCTGAGTTAACCGGGCTAAAATATCCTGGTTCATACTCTGGGCTATGTCCAGTAACGAATGATTTTGAGCAGACCCAGAATGACCAACCATAACATTCTCTAGTGGCCTCTGCTAGAAAGATAACATTGTATATTAATATAAATCACTCTTACCATTAAAGTAATTAACTGGGAGAAATACCTTTAAAAATGATGCCATGAATTTAATTAGGAAAATATAAAATACAACAACAACAGATATTTATTGGTGAAACTTAAAAATGTATCTTAGAGAAAAAAGATGGATCATAGTCTTTAATATTTCAAATTTTCTGGGTAAGAATGTTATCAGACACTATGGCCATCTTCCTAGCTTGCATAAATTTAACATTTTTTTTAAGCTCTTGCTTATATATATATATTACCAAATATTTAAAGAAAAAGAACATGCAAAGTGATAGATCAGATGTAAGGCAGCTAGACAACAACACCCACCAGCAACTCCTGGTTACCATTAAATAGTGGAATTGATCATAACATTATAATGCCCCCATGGCTGAAAAGAAGTATATCAGTATGAGTCATGATGTCAGGTTTACCCCATACTTCATTAAACTTGGAATGTACACTTGCCAACTGCTCTGAATTAGTGTCCAAGAAGAGTCTAATAAGTTTTCTTATGATCTTGAAAGTGAAAAGATAAATGATGTTCTTATTCTAAAAAATTATGTTGCTCGAGAAAGCTGTTACCTTTAAAAACTCCAACTAAAAGTATAATTTTATGTTTTAGTTTTATTTATACCCACGATTGGAATGTAATCATGCGTTTCTAAATCTGAATGGTTAGGCAAGAAAAAAGTTTCTGTTACTTATTTTGATTGGAAGAGTTAATTTTGGAACATAAAACAAAAATGAACTTATGATTGTAATTTAATGTTTCCTTTATGATGATAAGGTAGTTATTTTGCTGCATGTGTCAAAAAGCGACCTTGTAATTTACAGTCAACAAAAACACCGACTTTCAAAATTTGGTATAAATAGTTAATTATTTCTCTTCAAGTTATAGTCATGTAACACAGTATAAAAATAACAACGAAATGCAAGTTAGAAAATGTTTTGCACACTTTATCCAGTGTTGTCTTTATATTTATACGTATTTGTTCCTGTCATTCTGTTTACAATTAAACCACAATACACTGTCACGTTGCTTTTAGGGTATTTGTTTAAAAGTTATATACCGTACGTATGTATTAAAAGAAGTCATGCATTAATGAAATACATACACTTGGAATGACTTTGCTGCATTTAAATACAAACTTACCCATCTACCTACACTTTCTGGTTTCCTGATAACACCAGTTTCCTCTTGGGAAGTGCAGGAGTCGAGATCTGTTTCCATGTAGGAACTGCTGTGCTTTCTTTTTGGAGGTATAGCAACAGACCCTAGTTGCAAGCATGAAACAAAAAAATATCTACTTTATTCCCTATCTAGTTAAAGAAGTTTTATTTGACATACAGCTAATTTTATATTGATCAGTTTAAGATAACTTGTACGTAAAAGAAAGAGGCAACTGTAACTCTCTATGAAAACCTAATTATTATGGGTTGACAATATAATTGGTATACATTTGTTTTGAAATGTACATTTTCGTATTTAGAAACATCATTACATTTACGATAACTTAGAAAATTTATGGTACATCGGGAACAGTGCTACCTCATTAGAGGCCCTAAGCAGGAATATTTTTGGACCCCTCATTCACCCTCTCAACAAAATACTAATTGCAAAATTTCCACAAATCAAAAATACACCATCACAACACATACTAACGTACTTGTTTAAAAGTCATTTCTAGTTGCACACTAACACTGTGCCAGTATCTTTCTCAAATCATACACATTGGTGTGTACTGCACTCGGCAACCAATCGGTTCAAGTGCACCTCTCGTGTGTTTGACCATGTGGTGAAGTGTCTAGGTGCTACTAATTTTAAATGTCTGTCCATTACTGAGTGATGTGTTTTGAGATTGCTTTTCTTGAGAGCACTTTTTTTTTCATATTAGTACAATATTACAACAGGCAAAAATCAAAGTGTTGTAATGAAAATGATAACCCCTCCCCCCAAATCAGGTGCTGCTTGAGGCCCAAACAATTGCCAAAACTGCTTATGCCTAACACTGCCACTGTTCTAAATAAACAATACAACTAAGCTTGCTAAATTATAAGTGAATCTAAAAAAATGAAACAGGTAAGATATTTTAACACAAAATATAAAAATTTATGCAAAGCAGTGTTCGTACGTCTTCACATTAATCCGCTGTTACTTTGATCTTAAACATTCTGCACTGAGCAACCCGTAATGTTCTACAGGTATGTGAATTTTGCAAATCATTTTGTATGCCAATAACCGAATACATTTCAAGAGCTTTCTATCTATGCACTAACATTTATATTAACATCAAATTTTCTTATTTCAATTATTCATATCTGTGTTTAAGGTTGAATCTTCAAGGCAGCTAGTCAACATTACCCACTGCCAACCCTTTACCAATGAATAGTGGGATTGACCGTCACGTTATGATGCTACCAAGGCTGAAATGGGAAGCATGTTTGGGGATGGGTTTTAATCTACCTGCACCCTAAACACTAGGACATGTCAGGATGCTATGAGAGAGATGGTCAAGTGTCTTGACTGTATAGATTATTCAAGCGTAACCAGAACAACATATTATAGAAGAACGTATAGTGAGTAAAAATAGAACTATAATAGTTACAAAAACCCTTTGCACAAAACAGATTACAAACTATAAAAATGTGTTGTAAGGAAAACTGTAAGTTGTTTTGGAATCACAATAATTTAAAAGTTATCTTTTTCTATGTAACCGATTTTTACTATTTATTTAAGATATATATATATATAAAATACAACAGAGTACAAGTTTCATGTAATAAATGGTTCTATGGACTGATCCTTGTCTAGTTATTTTCAATATTATAACTTTTTTTTTAACTTTGATTTCTACACAAGAAATTTGGTAATTTAGTTTTTTTATTTGTTACAGTGTAACTTTAGTTGGAGTAGACATATTATGTTTGAGAACTATCAAGGACTGTAAATGCCTGTTGATAAAAACGTCGTCTCCTTTTCTTTCAACAGGCAGTTACAGTCAATTAAAGTTCTCAAACCTTCTAGTCTTTTATTTATCATATTGAACATATCAGTTATGTGATTGCATATTTTCATCAAAAGTATCAATCAAACTGAGATTCTACATAATGAATTAATTACTAATGGTTTTGTTTAACCTAGGGGTGAGGCTTTAGGTAGACCTCTATGATGAAACAAAATCATTAGTTACTAATCATTACAAGCTAAGCCTTTCACGCTCTTTATTGTGTTTTACCAGGAAAAACGAAAACAACAAGATCTCCGACATCAACGGAAGGAAGTTATGATATCTGGAGCAACCAGAAACCTCTACAAGGTTCAGAAATTACAATAGTTACACAAGCATGAAAGTATGCAATAAGGTTGAAATCAACTGATTCTTTACTGAATTTGGGTATCGTGCATCATATGACAATTTTTACATTATCTAGCTTATATATGATACAAACCTACAATTCCTGATGTCCCCTTTCTTACTTTCTCAATACTAGAGAGGTGCTTATGCTTTGACTTGAATTTCAATGTCTCAATTATATTGTTTATTTCTTGACGACGTTTGGCTAGTCTTTCCAAAAAACTTTGAATCCTCAAAAGCTCAGTTTCCAGATCTAATTTTGAAATCGATGACACTTCCTGAAATGATTAAACACACAATATGATAATGTCTCACTAGTTAATGAAAGAATTAAACTCATTTTATTAGAAATAGGAAGTTAACGACACTATAGATTTATATGCCCATCCCGATAGAAAATTTAAAAGAACAGTTCAAACAGGCTACATTTTTATTTTCAAGGGCCTTAAGGTAAACATAATACACCAGAAAATAATTACTGCTTAAATATTACTTAGCAAGCTCTATAAATAAATTTAGAATTGCTTAAAATAATGATGGGGTTTCCAAAACTTCTAGCTTATTCTGAGAAATTGAATTTAAATACCAGAAAAGTATCATTAGTAGAACAAAATGTTTCTGGCTAGCATTAGCCTGTAAAATTTCTAGGGGATTTAGCCAATTGTTAGATGACTGCTGCTGGTAATTCTGGTACATCTGAGAGTCAGACAGGTAATTGTTCTGACAAGTTAAAGCATACATCTTTTAACAGATTAAAATATGTTTACCATTTTCAATCCATTTCACGGCATTGGGTATTTTTCATGATTTCAAATAATATTTGGTACAGGCCACAGGCACTATTGTTTTTTAAACAGAAAATTCTATCATCTGTGCATTTATGTCACGCAACACGGAAGTAATGGCTGTCAATAAGGATGGTCATAATAATAATTTAAAACATTTATATTTCAACAACTATGGTAGTGCAGTTTCCAATGTCACAGCTATATTACAGTCATCAGAGACTAATGAACACTTAAACCACTTTGTACACTTTTCTATAACCTCACATAATCACTCCAATAACAAACTTACTTTTATTAAAAGCACACAAAATCACTCCAACAACAAACTCACTTTTATTAAAAGCACATAAAATCACTCCAATAGCAAACTTACTTTTATTAAAAGCACACAAAATCACTCCAATAACAAACTTACTTTTATCAAAAGCACAGTTAATTTACTCACCAAATGGCAATATAAAGCAAATAAATATTTTACAAAGTTTCATAAGTATACACCTAAAGGTGGTTTTCATATTATAACAAAATAATAACAACCTTTACATTACAGTTTTTAGTTCTATTTAAGAACATAGTGGTGTAACTACATTTCAATATTTTATAAATACATTACCTTTCTTCGATAACAGACTGTTAAGGCATGTTGTATTTTCTGCCTGAGAACTAGGATTTTGTGCTCTACTTTACAGACTTCTGAAGTTCTCTCTTCAAGTTTCTAATAACAAAAAGTGTAAAATGACTGGTTAACACCACAATCTTAGAATAAAAAGGAAAGAATATAAAGGTTCATTATCTTATTTCTAAAATAGGACTTTCAATGTATCCAAATATTGTCTGTTTGTTTGTAATTAAGCACAAAGCTACACAATTGGCTATCTGTGCTCTGCCCACCACGGGTATCGAAACCCGGATTCTAGCATTGTAAGTCTGCAAACATACAGCTGTGCCACTGGGGGGCCCCAAATATTGTCATCTTACACATGCCTTCTAACTGCATTCTCACCAGTTAGAGAAATTAATAGCTATTCTAAACTTCTGTGCTAACCTGTTCACAATGAATATAAAATAGCATAACTGACAATAAAAAAAAAAAAGACATTCACTTAACAATGTCATAACCCAGTAGTTCTCAAACTTTAGTAACCTGAGGACCCTTTTTAATTTAAAATATTTTTGTAGACTCTCAAACCTATCGATGTTTTTTGTTTTGAAAAATAAAATATCCCGTGTACAAAAAGTTATATTTCAAAATAAAATGCTTTAATTCATAGAAATTTAATTTTACAAAAAATAGAATTTTTATTCTATAAATCATATTTTTAAAATGTTTTCTATGAAATTTCAGACATGACTCACTAACCCCAATTTGAGAAACGCTGTCATTTAATTCATGAACTTTACTTTGCCACAACACTGACTTTTTATCCACAATTTATCTGATTTTTCATACTTTACTTGTAACATAATCTCATGGTGCTATAGCTATTCCAGTTGTTACAGAAATAATAAATAGATAAACGTTTTTGTGCACTTTTCTTTAGTCTTACTGAACCTGAACCACTCTACACAGTCACAAAATTAATTTTATTAAATTTGTCTATTTATTTATTTTTTTAAATATATAGCGACATATACAAACTTATAATTATTACTAACTTATTACAAGCTAAGCATTTCGTGATCTTTATTGTGTAACACCACTAATGATATTATGATATCAGAAACCTTACTGGAAGTGTACTTTCATATATTACGGTAATATTACAGTTGATATAGAATAGTGAATGCATGAATAATTTATTTCTCCTGTCTCTCATTTCATAATTAAATAACTGATGGACTTTTTACGGAACTAGCTTGCTCTAGTTCACTTCATATATTAATTTTTGTAGTATATAGGTTTTATAAATAACACAACATTTACAGTGTAAGCTTTGTTTAATTACTACTTCTTTTCTATACTTTTTTCATTCTGTTGAAACATAAGCTGAAGATGGAACGAGAATATTCCAAAACATTCATTAAACATGGTTTGTTTGTTTTTCATTTCTGTTGTTCTGATTTAATTCATATTTCCACCTCATGAATGTTTAGCATAACTCTCGTTTATATACGTACGTAGATCACATCTGTCGAAGCAGAAACAATCTATTCATGTAAGATAAAGTTTAATGGTATCTTATTGGATAAAAGAATAAATAAGTTAAATTTTTGGGAGGTATTCCAAAATATATTATCGATTCTCCCTCGCTATACAGAATAAATTCACAGATGTTTGTAACTTGTATGTTTAATATTTTAATAAATATTTCATATTTTTTATAGTTGTATAAAAACCCACACGTGAGCTAGTTCTTATCATCCAAACCAGATCGAATCTATTTGAATCTTATGAACTATAGAAATAATTACAAAAATCAGCCTATAAAGACAACTTACACAAACCCTTAGCATCTACTGAATGGTTTTCATACATAAATGTGACTAAATAACTTTCAAATGAATATCTCGTGAGCTGGAGACTACAGCTGCTTGCCACCTAAAGGGATAAAAACAAAACACGTTAAGTGTTACACCTCACCCATACATACCATAGCACTTTGTGACAAATGACTTCGGATGTGTGATAGTTCTTTTTCAATGAGACGTTGTTGTTTTTTCAATTTCTCCATCTCGACTGGGTTGTCCTGGCCAAGTTCAATTAGCTTCTCCTGCACTGTTTTCAAAGACTGCTCTAACATCTCCTAATTCATCATATATAACACCACACTTTTAATAACAAGTTTCACTAAGTACACAAAAATATCAACTGAGATAATTCCCCAGCGAAATGTTTATTCCTCGCTTCTAACACCGTACATTAAAAATTGTAAGCAAGATCACCACCTTTCATCGATCTGTTAACTACTAGTATATTCTATATTTTGTTTTCTAACTCTCGAAAATAACATATCATTGCACAGAAATTTACATAAAAGTTTTATATATTACCACATAAATTCTTCCTCAGATGTAATAATGTAGCATATCTTACAGTTAACTTTCTGTATAACATAAACTTTATTACAGACATTTTCAATATATATAATTTTTAACAGGTTACTATAACAATATTTACCTCACGTAGAATAGTGCTACTTTATTTTTGTAGTTTCAGAAAGAAAAACTTCTATTGATATTCACTATATTATTATTACATAAAGAATATGCACATATAAGTATAAAAACTTTTTTCTAAGCAGATAAAATATCCAGTCCTACTTTGTCATTCTGAAGGGAAGCAAAGTGAGAGGATTCTTCTTGAACCAGACAGTCAAGATGATACAAGCGTTTCAGCTTCTCCTACAAAACAAAATATATCATTACATGTGTAAGTGTACAAAATAAATTATGGCAACAGGATACACTTACAACATGTGTAAGTGTACAAAACAAGTTAGGATAACAGGATACATTTACAACACATATAAGTGCAAAAAATAAATCATGGCAACAGCATAATGGAACACATTTACAACATGTGTAAGTATACAAAATAAATTATAGCAACAGGATAACATGATAAACAAACGAAAAAATTGTTAGAATATGATTACCAAGGTACATGTACCACAAGGGCATGAAATAAATTATTGAAACATGACACATTTAGAACATGTTTAAGTGTACAAAATACATTATAGCAACAGGATACATTTACAACATGTGTATGTGTTCAAAATACAATATAGCAACAGGATAATGGGATACATTTAGAACATGTTTAAGTGTACAAAATACATTATAGCAACATGATACATTTACAACATGTGTATGTGTTCAAAATACATTATAGCAACAGGATAATGGGATACATTTACAACATGTATAAGTGTACAAAATAAATTATGGCAACAGGATACATTTACAACATGTATAAGTGTACAAAATAAATTATGGCAACAGGATACATTTACAACATGTGTAAGTGTACAAAATAAATTATGGCAACAGGATAATGGAATACATTTACAACTTATGTAAGTGTACAAAACAAGTTAAGATAACAGGATACATTTACAACACATATAAGTGCAAAAAATAAATCATGGCAACAGGATAATGGAACACATTTACAACATGTGTAAGTGTACAAAATAAATTATAGCAACAGGATAACATGATAAACAAACAAAAAAATTGTTAGAATATGATTACCAAGGTACATGTACCACAAGGGCATGAAATAAATTATTGAAACATGATACATTTATAACATGTATAAGTGTACAAAATAAATTATGGCAACAGGATACATTTACAACATGTATAAGCGTACAAAATAAATTATG